TGTCAGGCTGTGTGTGTTTTTGGCGGGCCCTGTTGCTCCCTTTGCCGGATGTGAACGCGAGCTGGCAGCTGGCAGGAGCCCCGCTAAAGGGAAGCGCGCTGCTTTGGGCATTTCAGCGTGCTGAGACAGATTTCACCATGAGCATTCGGTGTAGATGTCCGGACTGTGTAGTTTTGGTTTACACTGGTAGTTTTTACGACCACGTTTCACTTTCTATGGGTGTTGCGACATATTTGATGTCTCTCAGGACTGCGGTTCAGGTGGGGAGCCAAGGATTCCCCTGAATTCCTGAAAACTGCGGGATCCAAGGTGTCTGTCTTTACGGTGGAAACGGAATGTTCTGAGAGTGATCCATCAGTTAGCTGTCTCCCTTTCCTTGTGACTCTATGGATCCCGGAGTTGGGCCAGCTGTTAAGGACTCGTGGGCCACACATTATCCTCTACATTTCTCACCCTTTTGCTCCTACCGCTAAAAGCAATTCCTGTGGCCTTACCTTAGTTTGTGCCTTTTCCAAGCTGTGATACATTTAGATTTCTTTTCAACATGTTCTCTCTAACACGGACCTTATCTTTTTTTGCCCAGTGCTCAAAGTAGTTGAAAACCTTGGTGTGAGCTATGTAAGAAGTACTGATTCATACAAAACTAAGCTGGAGAATGAGCTCCGGAGACTTAAGTTTCCCTACAGAGTAAGTAAAAATTGGAACATGTAACTCTCTTGCACTTTATTTTCTTTACACCATTCAAGAATTATGAATAAAAGTAGAGGTGATGAAATGCTATTTCTAAAACTGCAGTTCTGTCATTTTGTCAGAGATGTAGTTTTTGTTTTAGGATATATATTTATTTCTTTAGGGTTACCTCCTTCCTTAATAGTTTGCATTTATTGCCTAAAAGATGACTTTAGACAATCTTGAACAGCAGTGGTAAATTAATTGTGAATTTTTAATCTGGGAGAAATTATTTCTCTAAAATAATAACAATATATTCTGTAGGCTTTGGCTGAGGATGATTATGAGGCAAGAAGAAAAGATCATATCTCTCATTTCATACTACGCCTTGCTTACTGCCAGTCGTAAGTACTTTTTGGATTATGCTGTACTCATTATTAATTTTAAATGTATACAGATACTACAGTGCTTTATTATAGACATTATAGATACTTTGGAGTTGCATTTCTATTGAAAGGTAGGCTCAAACAGTTTTTTTTTTGCTAGGAACCTGATTTCAACTGTGATGAAAAGGGATATGTGGGATCAAAATTAGTATTTGGGTTTTGTAATAATTAAAAAAAAAACCCAACAAAGTTTTGGCTTTTATACACAGAGCATTGATTTGAGTCTCGTCATATCTTTTTTTGAGATGAAAGCATGTCAGTATTAAGTATTTGTTAGGCATTTGAGTGATTAATAATATAATTTCACTGCTGTATATGCTAAAACTATTGATAACTGACCAAAGACTTGACAATGTAAATAGGCTCTATATTATTGTATAGAGAGCCTTGCTTCTGACAAACTAAAAATACAATTTAGTTTGAGGTTTCCTCTACTGACTCTGCTTTTTGTCCAAATTCATTGCTGTGGATGGTTGCAATGCATTTTTTTGTTGTGTGAAATCTCAAGCAAAAAGTAAAGTGCATTGTTTTTGCTTCTCCTGTAGTTTTTGGATGAAATTATAGAGACTGTCAGTGCTTTATGTCTGCTAGCAGCTTTGTTATACATTAGTGTGAACTCCTGACTCCTTGTCATTGCAGTCTTTTTAAAAATTAAACCTGGCAAATATGAAGTATGTACTGTTTTGAACTGTTAATTCAATTGCACTTTAAGTTGCAATATAGTCTATTTGAATTATGTGAATGTGGTAGAATACATATTATACTGTGGTAGGTGATGTGACTGAGGTGCTGCTATGGTTGGATACAGATTTGTCAGCAAAAAACAGACCGGAAAGGTGAGTAGGAAGGATTGTGGGATTGTGGTCTAAGCCAAAATATGGAGCTGGAATGAATGAGGCTTGTCTTTGAAATGGATTTGGGTTCCTGCTCCAGAACATCTGATCAGAATAGGAAGTAGCAGAGGCCTCAAACGCCTCCAGATAGATCAAACCTCACCATGACAGGCCCTGGTTAACTTTTAAACACCCTGAAATCTTATGGATTGTGTACATCCCATCATATTGTCCTGTCAAAAGGCATCTGGGCTGCGCTGAAGACAGTTTGTCAATGTATGTGATTGATGAACCAGCTAGATCTGTGATGCAGGTACAGTGAGGAACAGGTTGTGGATGTGAAGATCAATACCAGCCTTCACTGCATTGACTCTGATAGCATAGTTTGAAATCCTGAAAGAAGGGAGCAAGTTAAATAACAGAATTACAACTGAAATTCCTTCTACCCTTCTGTATTCTACATGTATAATTTGTGATTGTGAATAATAAATACAATACTGGTTTCTTTCTAGTGCCTGTGTTTGTTGTGTGTATTTTTATAAACTCCCTTAGTCATACTGGTCCTGCAAGAAATTATCTTGCTTTACCTATGTTGTGAGTTTACCAAAACCCTCTAAAAGATAGTATCCTCAATTAGCCTGGGTACTAAAAGGCCCTTGAAAATGTAATGGTTTGTATTATGCAGTTAGTGGCATTTTGAATAGTCAGTTTGGCTTCCATTATCCTCTCTTGTAAATCTTTACTTTAAACATTTAGTTGTTATTTAGCTTATTTAGACCATTGCTTATCAGTGGAAGATTAGATGCTTTGAGAGTTTTGGTAATGACACATTTGAAAAAAATTCTGCTCTTATGGAGAATTTTCTAGTGGCAGGAATCTGATCTGGAGTTCAAGAGGTGTCTATTTTTGAGTTGGTCTCTGACCTCAGGAAAAATGAGTTTGGGTCAGATTCACAGAAGGCAACCTAAGCCACCAAGCAAAAGCCTGAAGGTTAGGTATTAGGCTAAGGAGTGGAATTTACTAGGCTTTGTCCTCTGTGCTGAGCAGGGAGGAAGGCATGTGAATGACAGTGGATAGTAAGCTGAGTGAAAGGCTGCCTCAGTCAGAAATATCCCAGCAGGGACTTGGCTAAACATTTACCCTTGTCAGTGATGTGATGTCTTTACCCTCCTGCCCTACTTATCTATAGTGGCTTTAGAATCTCCTGGAATTAATGATAGGTGCAGATAATTTGACTACTTTCTTTTTCTCTACAAGCTGTCTTTTTAGAAGATGATTATCTTCTGTTTGAGGATTTATTTGACTGGCATTCTTGCATAGTAAGCAAATGGGAGACACTGTTCAAACCCTGTGTTTCAGGGAAGTATCTTAAAAGTTAGGCTATAAGCAGGACAGAGGTGGGCAGCTTTCTGAAGGTGAGCCACTCTGCAGAAATGATTACAATCTATTTTGGGCCACAGAATCAGCCTGGCTTTGTAGTCTAGGGCGAAAGACTCCTTTAGATGGAGGAGGGGCCATGGATGGAGCTCTGGAGCACTCTTTAAACAACTTTTTGTGTTCCAGTTTATAAGCACTTGGTTGATGCTCCATAGCAATAAAGCAGCTTTTAGTCAGTTTCCACTTTTGCCATTTCTTTGAAAAGGTGGATTTAGTGCTTACTCCTAAAATGGAAAATAGTGTCTTAAGCCCCATAAGGTGACCCAGTACCCAGCATTCTTCATTCTCTCTTGAAAAGCAACTATTTAGGGATGAGATATTTCTGTCATCTAAAACTGGTATGTTCCCCAGAAGATAAAATTGGAAGGCAAATAGAATATACTATGCTTCAAGTTTTTATCATACTGGGTCAGAAAAATAAGCTTGGCACAAGTCATTTGTTTAATTGATGAGGGCTGTTAAGGTAGGAGTGATTGAAAAAGTGTACTTACATAGACATAGCTGCAAACTAGGTTGAATTCAGTTCCTGTGGCAGCTGTGTTTACAGGCTCCTTTTCCTGCGCATTTTTTAGTTTCCAGTTGGCCAACAGTGCCACCAAGGGGTATGAATTTACATCGATTTTTTTTTTTTCTAGTCTGTATCAGTCCTCACTTACAAATTGAATTATTTTGGTTTGGTTTTTACACGCTCTGAAGTGGTCATCTCCACCATTCTGGTCAGTTGAATTTGTAATGTAGTCGTCATCTCTTCACTTTCCTTCTTCTGGCTTCTGAAATCCAAGACTGTAAAGCTTATTCCCATAAGATGGGGTATGTACAGTCTGAATAGAACAGTCTCATCCATACCCTTCTTTCACACCTCTTGTCATGTCACATATCTCTCAGGATCAGGAAACAGAATAATCTTGTATTGTTTGCTTTCATGACAGATGCAGATCTAAAGACAATTTTGTTTGCGTGTTGGACATGACTGCATTTTTGCTTCTGTATGTTACATCTCTCTTCACTTCAGCAAATTGACTATGAAGAACCTTCTAAGTCACAGGCACATAATCTTCACTTTACTTTCTTAAGATGGAATAAATAAATTTTGCCTCTGCTCTGACAGCAAAACTCTTCTATTCAGAAAACTATCAAACATACTTTTGTGCCTTTTTGTTAATTTGGTTTGGTCTGTGTCACAGAACAAGGACATAAGTTCTTTTTCAAACTTGACAAGGCCTTTTCACTATTTCCTGCTGTTTTTTCTATAGGATAAATTAGACTCGTGTGCTAAAATTCCTACTCCTTATGTTGAGTAGCGTTTACTTTTGTGTGTTTTCTGTACCCATGTTCCCCTTGCTGTCACTTTTTGGAACTTAAACTCTGAGGAATCCTCTAGTGTTGGTTACCTGACAGCGATCTGGCCCATGCCGAGGGTTTTCACGAATCAGTGTTCAGTTGTTGGTAACTGAACTCTGGTATTACTGTGGACTGTGTGCTACTAATCTTAAGTTCCAGATTTATGAACATTTGCATGCCTTTCCTCAGGTTCTTCTGCCTTGATGCTTCCCAACAAATATGCTGTTTTTTCGTACTCTTCCTTGGGGTGGTGAAGAGTATTTCCATTCCAATCCCACCCTCTCAAGTGCTGTTCTCTATACAAAAGAGCCTGTTCTTTTGTATTATTTTTATAGTTGGGAATCTATGAACTGGTTTTAACTGTTGAGTAACCTGCACACCAGGAAGTTAAGTGGCAAAAAACAAGGAGATATCCTTTATGTAAAGCCATAGTGCTGTCTACTCTCTTGTATGGTTCTGAATCATGGGTCATCTACTGCCACCACCTGCGTCTCCTAGAACGCTTCCATCAACGCTTCCTCTGTACAATCCTAAACATCCACTGGTCAGGTTTTGTGACCAATACATCTGTTCTAGAACAAGCAGCAGTCACAAGTATTGAGGTCATGCTGCTGAGAACGCAGCTGCGTTGGGCAGGGCACGTCTCAAGGATGAAGGACCACCACCTCCCTAAGATCTTGCTTTATGGTGAACTTGCCACTGGCTGCCGCAACAGAGGAGCCCCGAAGAGAAGATACAAGGACTCCCTGAAACAACATCTCAGCCTTGGCCACATTGATCATCATAACTGGTCTACTCTGGCCTCCAATCGGGAGGCCTGGAGACACACCATCTATAACGCTGTTGATGCTTTTGAGAACGCACGCAGGATCACCCTTGAGGAGAAAAGGCAACGCAGAAAGAACCGTGTATTGCAGAATATACCATCTAAGGAGTCTTTCTGCTGTGCCTTTTGCAATCGGATATGTCTGTCACATATTGGCCTCATAAGCCACCGGCGTGCCTACAACAAATGTGGATAGAACCTTCCCAAATCTTCGTTCGCGAAGCCTAGCCATGATGATTTGATGATGACACTTCAGTGACCTGCAACTCCCTCATGTGCATCAGCAGCTTGGTTAGTCTAATGACAGTGATATTGCTTTTCAGTTAAGCTTGGGGTTTTGATAATAAGTATTAATACTAATGTGTGTCTGAAGTGAGAGTGTACAGTTTTTACATGTGAATAATGAGGATAAGTTATGGTTTGTCTTTAGAAATGAAGTAAATAATGCCCCAATGATGATGATCCTAGGAAAATCAGTTTTAAAGTATATACTGGGACATACACAGTAGTGTAAAGTCAGCTCATCAGCTGTAGGAAGAATCTAGATAGGTGTGTGTATTAGAGATAACAGTAATATTTTCTTGTTTTGGTAACTTAAGTGTGTAGGTGGGATTACAGCCTTTGAAGGAAGGGAAGAACAACAGACCGGCTGGCCTCCAAAGTGACTATAAATAATTGTGTTTGTGATTTGTTTTTCATTGGGGTGTGCGTTGATATTTCATTTGTTTGTTTTCCCACTTAGGAAAACAAATGCAGTGTGAAGTTGATGAACTAGGAAAAGAGTAAAATTGTCACATCCTAGGGTTTTATTACTGCCTGAGATGCACATAGAAGAACTGCAACAGATCTGTCATTAAGACATTAACTTCCATTTTAAGTTGCACAGATTATTAGTATGTCCCAAGCACTGAAACCATCCACAGGTTTATTCTTCTTATACTCTATGCTTTAGAACAGAGCTTTTCCATCTGGAATTACTTTGAGTAATAATTACTTTTTTTCAACCAGAGGTATTGTCTGCAAAAGCACAAATGACTGTTGTGATCCATGTGTTCCCAATGGGAAAAGATGTTTAGATATTCTAAGGAGAACATGTAAGACTACAGTATTTCTGTGCTCTGTGAATTGCCGTGGCAGTGGCCTACACAGTAGCTCTTGGAGGACAGTTCAAGAGAGTGCCCTGTGGTAGTGAGGTACAGCATCATCTGCATTCTGTGCTTGTACATACAAGATGGCTTTTGTTACTGGTATTTTGGTAGCTATTTGCTATAGCTTTGAGCAGTGCACTGATGCCTGGGAATCTGAGCACTGGAATGTAAAGAGTTATATGAAAACTTAGAGTACTTGGAGACTTGCTGTTGTTTTATACTGTCTACTGACTCCTGTCCCTGTGTTCTTGTTTGTTCTCCTACTTGATCACCTGCAGTTGCTAAATCCCTTTTTCTCTTTGTCAAGAATTAGATGTTCTATTTGTGTTCCTCACCCAAGTTTATTTCCATATATTTTCCTTTTGCCTGTTTCCAGGCTGTTTGTTGCCTAGAATGGAGAGCACTATTGTCATAGTATCTGAGATGTGTGCGTGCTCCTTCAGCTGGAGCTACCCTAAAAGCGAGACTTAAAAGAAGTAGCCTTCAAAATGTATTTGCCTCATCAGGTTAATTGTGATATTAGTTGTACAATGAAGAAATTCTGTGCCATGTTGTGGAAAAAAAGCTTTTCTTTAAATACCAAGGGAGAATGTTACCTACGATTGAATATTTTTATCCAAAACAAGTAAGAAATGGTGAGTACCGTTTAAGAGAGTGACAGCTTTCATACCTACAGAGCAATTTTTAGTGTTGGGATTGACTACCTCTGTTCTTTCAAAACATGCTCCTTTGTGTATTGTCTCTTCAGAAGTCTTTTCTGATTGAGTGTGCATTACTGAAAATATCCTGCCTTCACTCCCAAGCTCCCCAGTTTGTGGGTTACATCCCAAAGTCAGCATTACATTTAATGCCGTGTTCACTAGGTTTGAGGTCTGGTTTTTAAGGAAAGAGAGAATGCATGTTCTGAAAATGCATTATGGTTTTTTTTCATTATTCCTTTGCAGTGAGGATCTCAGGCGTTGGTTTCTTCAGCAAGAAATGGATCTCTTCCGGTATCGCTTCAGCCAACTGACTGATGGTTTAATGCAGAAATTCCTGGAATATGTTAATTTATCATTTGAAGCTGTAAGTATGTTACTTTCTGTATTTACGTTGCATGTGCCTGTTGTTTTTTTAAATTCTCATTAAGATAGTTTTAGCGCTTGTGTTTAAAAAGTAAAAAATGCAGTTATGGTTTCAAAAAAACCCCAACCACACAGAACTTCTGAACTTGGAGAATAGTGTGTGTGCCACAGAAATGAGGATTAAGTCATATAATTTTGTGCCACAAGAAGTCTGCTTCAGTCAACAAACACAACTGAAACAATGTGTAGTTACACAGTTAAGTTGACAAGGTTTACAAGAGCTGATAGGAGGTATTTTTGAATCAAGATTCGATGATTCTTGATCTAATCCATCCAGAATGGTTTGGGTTGGAAGGGACCTTAAAGATCATTTAGTTTCAACCCCCCCTGGCTTGAACAGGGACAGATTTCACTGGACCAGGTTACTCAGGGTCCTATCCAACCTGCCCTTGAGCACTTCGGGGGATGGGGCATGCACAGCTTTTCCGGGCAGCCTGTTGCAGTGCCTCGCCGCCCTCACACTAAAGAATTTCTTCTTAATATCTAGTCTAAACCTACTCTCCTTGAGTTTGAAGCCATTTTTCCTTGTCCTGTCACTACATGCCCTTGTAAAAGGTCCCTCTCCATCTTTCCTGAAGGGTCCCTTCAAGTACTGGGGGCCACAGTTAGGTCACCCTGAAGCCTTCTCTTTTCCAGGCTGAATAATCCCAATTCTCCCAGCCTTTCCTGATACAAGAGGTCCCCCATCCCTTTGATCATTTTGGTGACCCTCCTCTGGACTCACTCCAACAGGTCAATGCCCTTCCTGGTCTTGTCTGTCTTATCTGGGCAAAAAACACTCAGGTTAAAATTGCCTTGCTTTCTTGATGAATTGTGTGATAATTGACCCTAGAGGTTTCAGTAATAAAGCAATGGCTGTGTTTGATTCTTATGTGAAGTGTATATGCAATCTGTTCTCATCAGATTATTGACTTCACTTGGAAAATAATTTTGGTCAACATATATCTTTACTCATAAGCTTTCCTCTAGAACCTTTGCAATCTACTGACTACTTTTAAGATGTGGCTGCTTGTTATAGAAACTGAAGGAAACCACAGTGACCTGGGGACTTTATACATTTTTCCCTCCATGAATACTGACATCTGGAAAACTGTGTGAAAATTAAAAATACATGCATTCAATGAATGCTTCAGATAGCTGTTGAGGACATAGTTAAAATTTAATAATCCTAGCATGCAAATCTTGTATGGATTGCTCAGAAAAGTAACTGACTGTGTAATTGTCCCCATGGGGACACATGGTTGTATGTTTGTGCATGCTAAAAAACATTTGGTTCTGCTTGTTTGTGCATATTATGTGAGTTAGTGGAGCTATAGATATATAACCAAGACTATGATTTAGCTTAAAAAACACAAAAAAGGCTGGTATTAAATGTAGTAGCTAAAAATTGCATAATGTGTTGAAGGATTTATATATAATTTTAAGAGAAATTATGTACAATTAAGTAGCAGTTTTATTGTTACACAGACCATATAAATGCACATACACATTAATTATACTACTTTGGTTTAATAGACCATTTTATTTTGGCCCATTAAGTACATGCTATGAAGAATACAGAATATAAGTTTTGTCCAAAATTCTGTAAATGCTCTTATTCTGAAGCTGTTGCTTTCTCATTAGAAATTAGATTCAAAACTTTTTTCCCTTTTGACTTAAACTCACTCTGGTTCTTTAACAACTAATGAGAAACCTTGAAAATGACAAATCTATGTAGACAAAAAACTGTTGTTTTTGAGGTGTTTTAGGGATATTAGAAAAGTGTTCCTGCTATTATATACTGTTTTGTTTGTCTGAGTGGATTAAAGGAAAATGTCTATTCCAGTTTCTATATTAATGATTTTAACAATATTTTGCAATGCAGCTATGAACTGTTCTGTTAGGAAGCTCCAGCCTTGCCTGTAGCCCTCAGAGGAAACTTAAGTTAATAAAAATTAACCTACAATCATCAGCCTACTGAAAAAACTTTTCTCTTAAAATACTGCTTAATTAGAAGAATTTAAATACTCTAAGGTAGGTGGCTGATGTATGTTGTATATTGCTAGATTGAAATATCTGGCATCAGTGTATGTTGAGGATGAAATAGGGTTTTTTCAGCATTGAGAATAACAGATGGGCTTTCCTGGGTCTTCGAGAGACTATTAGAAATGCCATTCTCTGGTGCAACAGACCTTTCAGTGAATGGTATGTTTGTGGAGCTCTATTTCCATTGCTTATTCCCCAGCCTCGTATTCTCCTGTCACAGATTCAGTATTCAGGCTTGTGAGAATAAATTAATATTTGTGGGTTGCTGGAAATAGCTAGGAGTATGGCTTGGTTCTGTGCTACTGAATGTGCCTTCAATATATCAAAATGATTAAGAAGGTATTACTTTCTTACTCCTGTTGAGGCAACAAAACATCATGTCATTGGAAATCTACTTCCCTGCTTCTACATCCCCTGCCCCCCGCTTCCAATTCTTACAGAAATTTAAGCAAAACTAATCCTTCCTTGCACTATCATGTATAAAACATTTGAATATTACTAAGGAATTCTATCTGTATCTGAAAGAGGTCTAAACTCTATGGTGCTATGTAGGGGCCACTAAAAAGTAAGGCCATTCTAAAAGCAGTATTTTTTTCCTCAATGTTCTATTTGCAAAGGCTTTAAAAAGGAAATTACGATGAACTATTCTCCTCATACTTCTCTACTAGAAGGTACAATGTTTTCGTGCCTTATTGTGCAATAAACCAAGTTGGAAATCAAACTTTGTGCTCTACCTGTTTGAAAGGGGATGGTCTTCAAGGAAAAGGAATTAAGTTCTGATATTACAATCCAGTTTTTATATGGGTAAATGAATAGAAATTCTACTATGGAACTTTTAAGTGCTTAAGATACCCTAAGAAACTTATTTAAATTTCTTTAAAGAGAAAACAGGTGCCTTGCATTTTCTAGGTGGTGGTTCTGATTTCAGAATTGTAGTCTGAAAAGGCCAGAGCTGCTAAAGCTCAAGTGTTGGTGTAGTCTGGTGTAGCTTATGTCAAAAGTTTGAAGAACCACTGTAAGAGTGATTCTCAGTATTTAATGAAAGAACTTGTCAACTGTTTTTTGGGGAGGAGAAATAAGTGGATCGTCTTGTACAGTTTTGTCAGAGTTGTTTTCATTTACAGCGCCAACAAAGTGAACCTAACATTGAGAATTCCATGACTGCCACCTCTCTCCTTCTCTTGTTTGCTTACATGCATGAGAAAGTGAGACTTTTATTCAAATATTTTTTGCAGAGGTTTTGCAGACTAATTTCTGAGATTTTGTGAATTATGGATTGAAAATTACTGCTTTGTAGAATCAAGAAGTCTTCAATCCCACTAATGGATAATACTTAAGAAGTTGTAAAGATCTTTGAATACCTAATAAAAAGATCTTATTTAGCAACTTTTTGGCAAGAATGAAGTTGTTAATAAGTAGAAGAAAACATACCAGATTTCAAAAGTTTTTTATATGACAATAAGATGTAGAGAGTTTGATATGATAGTAATTCTGATTTCATGATTAAAGAGATTTTTAATCAAAGAGCAAGAGCTTTCTGAAAATAAAAATGAAATTTAATGAAAACAAACATTTTAATTTTTTAATAGGATTTCTTTTGTCCAGTGGCTGACATTTGGAGCAAAATAGATGACAAAGGATTTATTGAAATAAATAAACTGTGGAGTTTTACCTGATTATAAAGATGCCCTCTGCTTGCCAAAGGAAGGCTATAAATTGTTCAAAGTACTCAGGTTAAAGATGATGAGTTCAGGATAATGAGTTAGTGTTTGAACATGCATAGGATTATTATAATTAAAAATTTTTACCATGTCTGTGAAAATAAGCCTTTCTACATTTAGTATAAATTACGGAAATTTGAAGCTTAGATAAGTTCTTCCTTGAAAAGTTTTTACAAAGCGTGCACTGGATTAAGTCAGTATATCTTTAGTATTTCTGTGAGAAGCCTCTGGACTTTCTGGGGCGGGGGGGAAGGAAGTTTGATTTGAGTTTGAGACACTTTTTTGATCTATGAACATGGAGATTGCATTTTAGTCACTTGTAGGAATAGCTTTGGCCAATCTCTTCTCTGGCAAGTGTGGAAGATGTCTGGAGTGGTGCTGCCCAGCCTACTGGAACATTGGTTTGGTGCTCAAAGTTTTACAGTAGTCTGAAATATCAGTACTTAGACCTATCAATTCATGCCAGCTTGGGCAAGACGTGGAGTGCATAGTATTAAATAAAATGTCCAGAAAGGAAGAGGGTAGAAGGAAAGCAAGAATAAATCTATACTTTAAGAGTATTTTCCCCGATACATTAAATGGTCTTCTATCACAGTGAAAGGAGAATCATGGAATGGTTCTGAAAGTATTTTAGAATGTTTCCAGTCTGTTCTATACTTTATGTGCTACCAAAAAAAAAAAAAGGAAAGAAAAAAGGTTTTTAAAGGATATTGCTGTTGTCATCTAGATAAATACAGAAGCTTTTTATGTATGGCATGTAATCTTCAGCTCTCAAGGCACATTAAATAGTCTATGTGCTAAGTCAGTCACGTAGGGAGCACAGGAAGTCCTTCAGCAGCACTCAAGAGAAGTAAATGCTGACATTTAAGTGACAGAGCCCATCAAAGAGAGTATGCAAACACCAGGTGTGCAGTTGAGATTTACATCAATATAGAAGATTAGAGCATTAAAATCTTACTATAAATGAGTAATTACATCAATGATGCCTGACAGTTTCTGGCAGTAAAACCACTAATATAAGATATTTAAAGGGAAATACAGTTAATATTTTAAGTGTTATAGTAATTGAAGAAAGTATTTTAATCGCAAAGGAAATTCTTCAGTATATGAAGGAATTATATAAAATAACTGGTTTTACAGGTAAGTGACTCTTGGGCTTTAACTAGGAAGTCATTCAGAAAGTCATGGTCAGAAG